TTTTAAACCAGAACACTAGAATTATAGAGGTATTAGAGTGAGAATGCAGTTTGGCTAGATTAGAAATTAATATCAGTATCTAATTTATGAAAACAGTTCTTTGACTGTAAATCATTGCATTGCATATTAATTACATTTTAACTTAAAATATATTGGGGAAAAATATATATATATACTGTCTGATCAATACAATTGTTTATTTAGGACCAAAATGAAAATGTAAGCATCACTTTTTATAAAGATATACTTAAGCCAAGATTTTAGCATTTGGTGGTTTTTCTTTTTTGGGTTCTTTTTTTTTTTATTGTTAAAGTATGAAGACTACAGGCATCTTTGATTTTGTTGTTGTTGTTTGTTTGTTTTTTGAGGCAGGGACTCCCTTTATAGTCAGGCTGGCCCAGGCAGGCCTCAAATTTGAGGCAATCTTCCTGCCCTAGCCTCCCGAGTGCTGGGATTACAGCCTGTCTGGCTACATCTGATTTCTGAAAAGGATGTTATTTATTAAATATGGCAGGTTGAACATATATATTTTCTTTCCCTGTATATCTCAATAAAATTTAGACAGTGTTAAAGGACTAAGAAAAGGTGGGAGAGAAAATGAGAAAGAGGTAATCTAAATTTTGGAATGTAAATCATAGAAATGTGCTCACTGACATAGTGGTACTAGAAAAACTGAGGTCTTAAGTTCCTGTGTAAGGGACTGGAGAGCAAAGAGAGAAGAAAATAATAAAAATAGTGAAAATCAGATTCTCAGGATTTTAGGATCTGACGAGTTCACAGAACAGTAAAAAAAAGAGGTAGTTATGATATTATGAAATTTTACAACCACAGATAACAAAATACTCAAGCTTCTAGAGAGAAAAAAACATTTTAAATCCCAATTAAAAGATCAGGAATAAGAGTCACATGGGACTTAGAGCATCTACAGTGGATGCCAGGAAACTGAGGAGCTCTGCTAATTCTGTGTGAACTGATAAGGAATGACTACAGGAAATAAGGTTAGTGAAAAAGGGAATACAATAGCAATTTATATAGTATGCTACTTCTGTATAGGAATAAGGCGGTGGGAAGGTGAATAGATGGTTATATACATGGTTGTAAAACTGAATAGACAAAGCCAACTACTTTATGAAAATAGTTTCGGGGGGGAGGAAATAGGGGAACAGAAATAGAGAAGAAGTTTCTCTGAATAGAGTATACTTTGTTGTATAGGTTGACTTTAGAATCCTATAAATGTGTTACATATTTAATATAAATTGAACCAAAATAAAAACTTGAAAATTGTAGGCACACAACTTTTCTACCTGAATTGGTGACAACCCTACAGAGAAAATAGTTATTTCAGGTGACTTTACAACACCGTACAGAATTTTAATCATCCTTTGTTAGAGTTGCAAATAAATCTTTAACTTTATTCAGTAATCTTAGTTTTAGAAGCACTATTGGTGTTATTTGAAATTATATATATTTTGTAAGGTAATGCAAACAAGTGATTAGACATCTGTACAAAACTCGAAATTTTCAGTGCCAGAGAAAAGAAAACAAATATCAACCATAGACTTTATAGTACATTGAATGGTGAATCCCCTAAAATGTAAGTCTGTGTGTTAATCCCAAGAACCTGTGCATTTATTTGGAAAATTGGCTTTTGCAGATGTAGTTGCTAGTGATCTTTAAGTGAGATTGTTCTGGATTACCATAGGTGGCTCTAAAGCCAATGATAAAGGGCACACAGAGAAAAGAAAGTGATGTACAGATAGAGATAGAGATAGGCTTGATACAGCCACAAGCCAGAGAAGCCCAAGGGATGTTGAGCAGCCACCAAAAGCTACAAGAGGCAAAGAATTGTCTCACATAGAGCTTCCAGAAGGAGAGTGGCTCTGCCAACCCCCTGTATTAGATTTCTGGCCCCACAGCTAATGAGAGAATAAATCTGTTGTTTAATCCATCAAGTTTGTGGTGATTTGTTATTAGCAGCCTCAGGAAACAAATCAGACATGAATAAAATCCCTGAAACGAAAATGAAGACTTAGCCGGGGATTTAGCTCAGTGGTTTTGCCGCCTGCCTTGCAAGCACAAGGTTCGATCTCCAGTACCAAAAAAAAAAGAAAAATGAAGACTCAAACATTTAACCTGACTTTGCTTAAAGGAACTGTGTTTTAGGCTTAAATACATATCTGTAGTTGATGAGGAAAAGTTCATTGCAAAAGAATTAAAGCTAATAAATATGGAGGGAATAGAATTAGAAAATAACCTTAATAATAATAGATTCAGAGCAGTGATGATTAATGAATAAAAATATTGCATGGAAAACAATGATGGAGGAAGTTTTTTATACACAGACTTGTGCTTTCTGTATCACAAGCTGATCATTCTTAGCCCTATTAATGTGGGCAACCAAACATTATCGGCCTGTTGGATATCTGATGCAGTGTGAACCACATAAGAAATAGAGTCAAGTTGAAATAGAATCTAATTGTATGTAGAGCTAATCTCCATTATATAAGATAGAGAAACAAGTTAATGTCACCACAAGGAAACCAGACAACTCTAGAATGTAAGATCATCTAGAGATCAGCTGACCATGTTTCCCTCAGTTTCATGAGGGGGAAAAGAGATAGAGGAAGGACTGCTCCAGATTAAAAGAACACTCTAGTCTCTTTTGGATCCTGACACAAACCAACTGTAAAATGAAATTTTTAAATTAGCTAGGCAAATTTGGGGTAATGGGTGATTCCGGGTTATGAAAATGATTTGGAAAGATCTCCACATTTTAAATAGATGGATACTGAATTCTATGGAGATGAAATTACATTATCTAAGATTTGCGTTATTTTGCTTAAGAAAAATTATGATAGAACCACATTTTGATGATTACAAGTGGAAGAAGCAATGTCATTTGAAAAAAGTAAATAGCATTATGTATAAAAATGATTTCCAGTGTAGTGTTTAGAAAGATTTCTATATTATCTCCCATGTCTTTCTCAAGAATGAACATACTCCACTGAAAAAATGGATTCACCAAACGAAGAAAGACAAAAATATTAAATAGGATAACAGTATTCCTCGGGTCAGAGTATTAGTTCAGTTTGGAGTGGGCAGATATAGGACTTCAGGATGTGAGGGCTCCATGAATAAGAGGGCTAGCTGGTTTCTGTTAATACTATGTGGGAGTTTTCCACTGTGTGGAAAATTTAATTGAAGGATGCAGAGTAAGAAGAGTTTGTGATAGATGCATGGAAAGGTAAGCAAATGCAAAAATATAACAGTTTGTATTCTGGAGAGTACAAAAAGAAACATATAGTAGTTTACTAATGATAACAATATTATGTACATAGTTATTTAAATACAAATGGGTGATAATTATTTTGTGCTAGGAGGAAGGAAAAGTAAGGAGTGCAAGGGAAATAAATCCTCATTTCCTACAGGAAAATCTATAGATTAATATCAGTATTTGATATTTCAGGTTACCATTATAATCTTGATCAAGGCAAGTTGGAGTCCTGTATGCCTCACTTACCTGTATGTCAAGTTCTTTTTCCCTGCTTGGGACGTTTTCTGCCATCACTTCTGTGAACAGATTTTTTATGTCATCTGCACGCTCTCGTTTCTTCATTGACTCCAGTCAGTCTTATGTTATTCTTCTTTGCATTGTCTAGCAGCTGCTGGATTGATTTCTCATAGTCCCTTACAATTTTAAAGCAATTTTTCTTTTCCTGGTCACTAATTGCAGTCTTATCTTCTATATCTGAAATTCTGTCCTCACATTGGCTCATTCTGCGTAGACTTTCAGTGGAGTTTTTAATCTCCTGGAAAATTGTTTTTATCTGTTTTATGGATTCAGTTTGTTTCCTATGTTGGGATTCAATCATGTTCCTGAGCTCCTCTGTAGATTTATTAATCATGTCTTGCACTATGAGCACAATCTCTGCTGTTATCTGAGAAATTATTTCTGATTTCATATTTTCCAGATCCTCTTTTGTTGCCAGTTCAGGGAGTCCAGGTGGTTGAGTATCAGAGTGTTCCATCTTGTTTCCCTTTGGGATTGCTGTAGGTGATCTGGAAGTCTGGTTTTGAGGCTTGTTTACTTGTCTTCTCATTTCGATGGGGGTGGGGTGGTGGTGATGGTGGTGGTGGTGGTGCTGCTGCTGCTGCTGCTGCTGCTGCTGCTGCTGGTGCCCTTGCGGCTCACCTCCTGTGTGCTGGCGGGGGTGGTACAGTGGCTTGGAAGCTTCCTCTTGTGCACTGGGAGCTGCTCACCTCCTCTGTGCTGGCGGGGGACTACCATTGTAATCTTAAATAGTGAAAATATTTTAAAGAATTTCACATTGAAGGAAGAGGGACTTTCTCACTATGTGTATTACTACTTAGATTTCAATGAAAATAGAATATGTTAAAAAAGAGGCTGAGGATAAAGATCCCCTCAAGGACAGGTAAAAATGAACCAAGTCTATTCTCTGCAGGCTTTCATTTATAAAAATTCTTGTAGTTTACTTCACGCTTGATGTATTTCTCTTCATGTATCTTCTGATTTTGCTTTATGATACTTCAGTCATGAAAACTTGGGGAGAGTGGATTTGTATTTTTTCGTATAATTTTGTTAAATCTTTTAAGGATAGATTGAAGTTCTAAGAATAAGGAAAACTTGCTTTTTGTGAAAATAGTTTATTGACATTATTAATAATGAGTTAAGAATAAAGTAGTGGTGGTAGTGATAACGTTTTTCAGAACATTGATAGATTTTACTTGCAAGGTTATATTTGCCCGAGAATTGAGTCCCTGTAACATTATCTTGTTTTTAGAAAGGTTTGTTACCACAATTCATTTAAGTTAGTTAAAGCAACATTTCCAGGAGTAGAAAAGAGAATGTCAGAAAGTGTATGGTGAAAGTACTAATTTGAATTTCTATCCTGTCTTGTAGCTTGCTTTCTATAATATATTGAAATCATTCCTTGGTTTTAAAGTTAGTCTTTGAATTATCTTTTCACTATCTTTTCTAGGATAGATTCGAGAGGCTCTTTCTATAGTGTGGATTGTTGCCTTTAGTAAGAGCATGTCGTCCATCTTGCCATTCACTCCACCAGTGGTGAAGAGACTCCTAGGATGGAAGAAATCAGCTGGTGGGTCTGGAGGAGCAGGCGGAGGAGAGCAGAATGGACAGGAAGAAAAGTGGTGTGAGAAAGCAGTGAAAAGTCTGGTGAAGAAGCTAAAGAAAACAGGACGATTAGATGAGCTTGAGAAAGCCATCACCACTCAAAATTGTAATACTAAATGTGTTACTATACCAAGGTAAGTATCGATTGATCTGTAGATTGATGATCTGCTGTTGAAAATTGCTTATAGGAACCTCAAGGAAAGCTGTTGACTTTTTGTTACTTTCAGTTCACCTGTCAGTAGTGATTATTAAAATATGACTGTTTAACCTGTCATATTAATTTTTTTTACTAGTTAAGTCTTGTTTATTTTACAAACCATTTTCTTCAGCAGTGAGGTTTACTGATAATTGCTGATATTTAGATATAGTTATTTTATCTTATCTTCATTGCCTAAGTTTGTATATTTCTCATTTCTGTGATAGAATGATGTTTGAATAAAGATTCAAACCTCTATTACTGGTAAGTAGTGACTGACAATTTTTTACTCTTGCTGAAAACTTCAGTCAGTAAGGAGCTATAAGAGGCTGCTGACTTTTTGATGAATGTTTTATAGTTCTTGGCTTTGAGTTGCAGTGTTGTTTCCAAGAAAGATCAGTATGTGAGGCAGCTTCTTAAATGTATGTAGTAGTCAGAATCTATCTCAAAGACTGACCTCTTATATTGGAAGGAGCTAACACTAAAGAGGTTGAAGTTTTAAGTATAAATTTAATCATTTGCAGATAAGTACCACTGTAGAAGTGGATTTTTGAAAAAATGAAGTGGCCAGTGGTTTATAAATATCGGTTTCTGTGTGCATTACAGGGTTTTTTGAGTGCCAAAAATAAAGAATTCTCTAAAATGAATGCAATATATCATATACATGGACTTGCATAAAGCGTGTGAAACTGTTCTGTCTAGTGAGCTTTGATAAACATGTTCCTGATGCTTAACAATAACAGATCCCAGTAACACTAGCCTGTCTACTTGCAAATGTTCATAGTAGACTGTTTCTTCCCTTGTTTGATAGGCTAATTACCCATTTGTTACCTTGTTTCATGTGTATTTCAAGTAAGTCACCTTTCTTGGTTCTTTTGTTTTACAAATGCTATGGAGTCACCTGCTGTATGTGAGGCTGTTTCAAGACACATGGGTGATACAGTGATGATAAAACACAAATTTCCCGTCCTATTGAGGGATAGATATGCATACTAAACAAGTGAACAAATCAATATAATTTGAAATAGTAATGAGTGCAAAGACAACAGATGTGGCAATATGATAGGAAATGCCTAAAGGATGAAAAAGCTTGGATTGTGATGCTTGAGGATCAGGAGCTAGCTGAAGAGGCTTCTTGGCAGAGGAGAGAGCCAGTATAATGACTCTGAGGTGGGAAATAGCTTCTCATATTGGAATATTTAAAAGAACGTAGAGTACAAAACATGGTAGGAATCTAATCATACAGGGAACTGTAAGGTGCTGTTGGAGTTAAATGTTGATCTAAATATAAATAAGGATTTTTAAAAATCCATTTTTAAAAGGAGTTTTAAAAAATCTCATTTTGCCAGTATCACTGGCTGCTGGAGACAGATGCCATAGGGTAGGGTGTGTGCCTGTGTGTGTGTATGTGTGTGAGAAATAGTAATAGAGGTAGGTTGGATGCTAGCAGAAGAATCAGCTAGGACGCTGTGAAAGTAGTCCACGTGCAGGAATACAGAGACGGACGTGGCTATGCTAGCAACAAAGTGAATGGATTCTGCATGCATTTTGGAAGCAGAACTGTAATGTCTTGGTAGTGAATTGACTAAGAATAGGTCAAGCTGTGTTAATCTTTCATTGCGTGGGTGGTGGCGTTTTAGTTGAGGAAACGTTTATTAAATGGTCACTGCATGGCTGATAAGATTTTCCTTGCTGAAGTTTTCTCTTGAGTTTTTTGCTTTCTTTCCTTTTTTTGTTTTTGTTTGTGTGTTTGCTTTCTAATAATGGAGAGAAACTTTAAAACAGAAAATAAGAATTTTGTAAAATGTGATGATGTCATTCAACAGGTACGCTCAGGGAATTACATCCTGAGATGGCTTATGGGAACTTTCCCTTTAGAGGAAATTTGTTGTGGTGGTTGAGTCTAGATGATGCAACGGTGGAATTACTTAGAAGTGTGTTTTGTCAAGAGTGGAACTGTGGAATGAATATTGTGGTGATCAGGGAAGATTGGTCAAGGGTTCTCAGGAAGGAGTTATCATTAGAGTATAGAGTTTGGGGTACTGCAGGAGATGTCAGGGGTGACTCTGAATGTAGTCAGGAATCACAACAGGTGTGCTAGGGAGTTTACAGTCAACCTGAGTGTGTCTTGACTGTGTGTGAGACACTGAAAAGGCTTAGGTCTAGAAGGCCAGCAGTCAGATTAAATTTTAAGTAACTGTCTGACTATTGAGGAAACAAAATAGGCTGTCACAGGTGGAGTTAGGGAGACCACTTAGCCTCTCAACAAAGGGAGCTCAGTAGTCCATGCAGAGGTGGAATATGGTTTTGCTTAGTTCTGTTTAGGGCTCACGTTGCCATTGTAGCAATTGGCCCACAGAGGAGGCAAAGGGTAGAGCTCTTTCAAGGAGATGCTGCAGATAGTGAATAGCCTGGTGATTACAAGTAACTCCCTGGGTATTTATACTGTGAAGGTCACCTTAGTCACATTTCTTTTCCTTATTTTTTGTTCATTCTGTGGCATATTCTAAAAATTTCTCTTTATATTTTAGAGCTTCATTATATTTTTCTCTCTACTCTTTTAGTGATTAATGAAGATAAAATAAGCAATCATTGCTCATTACCTTGTGTTTCAATATTCAGAGTTCCTTGAAGTTTGAAGTTTGCCTAATTGGGTGTGTCAAAAACTCCTTACACTGTAGTTGAGTGCCGTATATTTTCTAACTTTTTAGGAGAGCAGCTATTTCTTAACTATTAACTATCCTTAAACATAATCAATTTTAGATGCAGTTCAGTCATTTTATTTAGGTAAGAGTGTAAAATATGGGGAGTAAGAGAGAAGAAGCTTTGTTATGAATAAATACAAACCTTAGTTTAAATAAGAAATTTTAAATGGGATATAAAATAGAATTAGTGAGGGTCACTTACTTAAAATGGCAAGTAAGGTATTAATACCTTAAGATTTTCAGACTTAAAAATACAAGTAACTCAGTAGGTGAGCATGAGAAACAAATTTCTGAGTTAAAAAAAAGGCAAATATTTTCAGCTAAAATATTTGTTCTGTTGACTTTTAGCAATTTCTACCCTTGTTCTCTTTGCCCCACTAATATTAAAGTGAGATTATCAAGTTCCCAGGGGCTGGAACTCCTAGTAATATGCGTGGTTGTCCCATGCCGCCTGATGCATTTATGGAACAGTTAAGCATTTACCACTGGTGGTTTAGAGCCACCCGACAACAAGATGTGCATTTACCAGTCGTGGTTTAGAGCCACTGGAAAGCGAGACATACGAACTGTGGACCCAACGTGAATGTGGTAAAGTTAGAAATAGTTCTGGCTTTATATCCCTCCCAGTCCTCTCACCTAATTACTCTTGCCATATCTGAAGTTTTGGAAGTTTGTAGTTAGAGATATATATCACTACTGCTTCCTTCCTGCCATTGTATGTGGTGACACAAAATAATTCAGGGACAGAACTTAACCTGGTAAGCTGCAGTACACTAAGTAGCATTAAGTTTCATGAATATTTTCTGTTTCAAAGTTTTTAAGACTGAGGAAAATTGTCATGAGACAACTCAGTCATATAGTAACAATGGCAACTGATATTTAGTAAAGATGTGAGAAGAAAAAATGGCTTTCAGTGCATAATAACTTATAATAAAGCAAAATCCAAACTTGCTGGGAATGGAGTTCTGCAAAATTAAAAACAGGTTACTTTAGTGTTCAAAGTGGCAGTTTTATTAGTAAGTATTATACATACATGAGTAGGAATGCAAAATTTGTTATTTTGCATAATCATAAGTTATAAGGGCTTTCTTAAGGTAGTGATTTGGCCATATACTTGCATATTTTTATCTTTTATCCTAAGGAAACAGGAATCCAGGAATAGATTTCTGGTATCTTTCATTATTGTTTGTAGTAGCAAAGAACCAATCCTAACCCTTAGTTTCCTTAAATCTAATGTTCAGAAAATGTTTCAAACACAGACCACAGCTGAACAAGGATAATAGAAGAAAAATTACTGCTGTCTCACTTACAAACATAGATGCAAAAGTTACAAGTATCTGAAACTATGATAAAGTGGACTTATTTGGAAAAGAAAAAAAGGAAAACATGACAAGATAGTGGTTTTTTTAGCCCACTTATTTCAGCTATTATAACGATTTTTTAAAAAATTAATTGTATTGGTACATTTTAGGTATACAATATAAAGACATTCATCACTGGAAATTTGCACCTTTACATTATCTCTCTTGGTTCTTATTTTTTCCCTCTTCCCCTGCCCTTACTTCAACCCCTCCATCCCTCCCTATTTACAGAGACTTTGTTTCCATTTTTTCATATTAATTCCATTCCTCTCTTTCCTTTCCCCTACCCCTCCTACTTCCCCTTCCCCTTTGCCCCTTTTCTTCCTATTTCACATTATCTATCATACCTTTTAGTCCTTATTTACACTTTCAGTTTCTCATACTAGAAAAACTATTCAGTATTTACACGTGTGTCCTATTTATTTCACTTGAGAGTATTGCCTCAATGTGCATCCGTTTAGCGATAAAAGTCTCTAATTTCTCATTTTTATGGTTGACTAGTACTCCATTTTATAAAAAAAACCACATTTTCTTGATCCAGTCTCCAGTTGATGGGCATTTGGGCTGTTTCCAAGTTTTAGCTATTACAAACTGTGCTCCTATGAACATGGGTGCACATGTATCACTGTGGTATGATTCTTCTAATTCTTTGGGGAAGATACCCAGCAGGGGAAAAATAGCTAGGTCAAATAGTACTTCCAGTCCTAGTTCTCTGAGGTATCTCCATACTGATTTCCACAGTG